TGACTCATACAATTTTAATAGTTGAGAGTATGAGTCAATTGATGCGAGACCACCACCGTTTCGTCCTACTGTGCGACTCCTCAGCAGTGCGCACTCATGATCCCGCAACCCCCCTAATGAGATTCGAGACCAGGACAGGTCGGTCTCGCGTGAGATCGCTTAACCACTAGAACAACGAGCTGACCGCCATCCAATGGTGTTAATGAATAACTTGAACTAATCCACGAAATTGAGCGGCATATCCACCATTGTCCTCATTGAGTTACTATCTCACAACAGACTCGAATGAACTGCAATGGTCACTGTTTCTTAGTAGAACTCCAGAAATATCTCTTGAAGCCAGTCACAAGTGAGCATATATTGATTAATATCAGAAGAGACTTTTTGGGTATTATAGTAATTTTAATAGTTGAGATCATGAGTCATTTTATGCTAGACCACTGTGGAAAGCCTGGGAACACTGTATGGCCGTTTCGTCCTAATGTGGGACTCCTCAGCTTTTATATGAAAGTCAGAACACATTATGAATACTACGACTTTCTAGAATCCCCTTCCAATTCATTTAGTAGGTTAACACTATGTATAAGTATAGTATTTATAGGGAACTTTATTTTAATCATATATATGTATATATATATATATATATCTTTTGTGAACATATCAACGTGGAACATCCCAACTTGCCAGATGAAATGTGAAAAAAAAACTCAAAAGTTAAAGCTTGTAATGAAATCTCCTGTAAAATTGATATTCGGGTTAGCGCCTTTTTAAGCGAGTTGGTATTCTACGAGGTAGGGTAGCCAACGCTATACCCTACCCTCCTACTTTATCCGGGCTCGAGGCCGGTACTAGGTCCAGTCGGAGTTCGCTATACACAGCAAGTTCTAAATTAGGATCCTCGATGGAAAGTAGGAAAAGTATACCAAAGCACAGATTGCACTGGAAATCGGAGGCAGACACCAAGTCCTATCCATTCATCTGATGTCAAACTAACAACAACATTTTGTCGTTAGAAACATTAGCACTGAACAATGCAACAAGCTACCAATCTCTTATAGGACTGAAATATTTAAAAATCATTAGTCACTGAGTAGTGATCAACGCCATGTCACTCTAATACGACTAATACTACTATTACCATACAATTCGAAAAGATTTAAGTACACATTTATTTTATTATTTATTTATTTGAACACATAGATATTGGTGCAATGAGACACCAAATACATATGCGCCACACAAATCTCATTTGATATGTGTGAGGGCTATGATACTGACCGGGTGCCCAAACCGAACCAGGTGGTTTTCTTAAGGGGGCCACACCCGGAGCATTCGACCTAAAGGTCTGACCCACAAGGCAGTGGAGCATCGTAAGGAGATGGAGTCCCATGGTAGCCGGTGACCAACGATTGGTTCATACACCATTTGTTCCTTCAGGATACTGGAGCCAGCCCATGTGCACCATTGGTTTGGGATCCGGTTAAAGCACCGGACATTCGCTTTTCGTCCTCTCATTTTTGTAAACACCCCCGCCACGAGAAGGCAGTGAGTAGGACTTCCCTGGCAGAGACTATGTACGCATGGCCATGTGAGAGCATTTGGAGAGGGAGAGCGGACTCTCCCCACTCTCGGCCGTACCAGGGCATTTGGGGGCAAATTACTTCTTAGTATGACATGAGTTATTAATCCATATCACGTATTAATTTCACCGACCAGACTTCTGATTATAATTCCTTCCATCCCTCGTTTACTATTCCGTCTGTAGCCTAACGTCTTACACTTGGTCAAACACACGTTATGATGTGGATAGTTTGTAAACACTTTACATCCCCTGCTGTAAGTGGGAAGTCGACAGCTAGCTTCTACCGTATAGTTATATTGATTACTCCACCCAGCCAACAACTCAAACACCCATTAGCCTATGTACTCAAATTATCGGACCTCACAGCACACCAAATAACAAATCATACTTTAAACTTATGCCATAAGCAGTATTAAAACAGATTCATATTAAATGGATAGCACATCAAGAATCGCAAAGAGCAAGAGACTGAACACAATAAATGTTGTATTAAGACGATAGTTGACAATTGTTCATAGCTAGAACTTATAGTTGGTCAGTGTACCAACTAGACACCATACAATTCACCTGAAATTCATCCACAGTACTCAATTGCTCTACTTTTGCCTAGTATGAAGAATTTATTTGATCTGATATACAAGGTCAACAAGCATACTACTACTATCGTAAACCATCATTGAGTTTAGGTTACAGCACATATATAGGTTGCTGAAATACTTTGAAGAAAATAAAATGCAACCTACAAATCATTACTACGAATCCAATCTAGACTCAAAACACAATGAATCTAGTCACTAAGATATAATTAATTCTACACTGGTAGAAATTGTAAAACACATCTACTGACTTGTTTCTATGTAGAACCCGATACATCACTTCATATCAATAAAAGATCAACTACATAATAAATGGGGGGGCTAAAAGTGAAAACGATGAGTCAAATATCAAATAAGCTGTATTGTATATATAGAAGCAAAAATGAAATGTCAGTTTATGCAGTGTAAACTGTTGGTTTAATTCAAGGTATCTAAAAGCTTAGTGGTATGTTCCTCATAGCTTAATGACTTCATTGAACTGATTTGTTTCATCATTAAATTGAATTTGAGACTTTAAAGTCCTATGAATGATGCGTTAATGCTTGTACCTATACGCTGTTAAGTGTTGTGAGACAACAGAAACCTCTGGATTTTCATATACACGTAGTAAATATGACCTAGTAGAAACAATCATCAGTGCTTCAGGAAACTAAATGTGTAAACTAGTCATCTGACTTAGAAAACTGACAATACACGAATAGAGGGATGAAATTAACAAGACGAATACCACGGTAATAAAAAAGTAGCAATAATAAAAATAAGGCACGGAGGACATGATTTGGAGATAAATCAGCAGAATAAAAGGTATGCAATAACATAAGATCTGAGCAAAAATAAGAAAAGAAGGTACCTGGACTGTTGTGATCAAACTTAAGCCTGGTCATCCAACGTTGACAACTACTGACTATACTAACCCGCTAGTGTATATATTTACCAACAGAGCTCAATATAACTATTAATGATTCCGCTGAATATTGGTGCCTCAGCAAGGCTAGATAGTTTTTTTCTAACTCACGCAAATCGTGTCAGCAGTTTTACTCCTATTGATAAATTATCCGCTCTTAAGGCTTTCTAATTAACCCATTTACCGGGCAGTTGAAAAACGTGAGAACTAATCGTACTGTTGGATCGCCAAACTCAAAGTAAATGAAGTAGGGTTTGAGACAGAAATTAATAACTAAACACATTTACCATTATACCACGATTGTCCCATCATTCATTTACAAAATACTGAATTGGAAATAAAAAGCAAGCAGTGAAAATTATATTAAAAAGTCAGTCAAATAATTGAATATGCAAATAATGGTAATAAAAACAATCCATTCAAAATATTAAAACGATTACAACAAGAGAAATCACAAATATCAGTTTACCTTTTTAGGAAACAAAGAAAGAAAACATAAAAATACACCGAAAAACATTCTGTGCTTTTATACTCTACACAATGACACAATTTGAAAACAAACAAATGATTTGATTAGTAGAGATAAATACAGAAATATGCATAGATATATATATATACACAAAATAAAAACCTATACTCTCCTGGTTATTATTTGTTCCATATGCATCTTTTATAATGCAGCAGTGAAATAACAAGTAATGATCATCATGTACTAATATATAATGAGTGTAGATAATTAATCAGTTCAGTGATGCATAAGTTGTCATGTATCAGTATCAATAGACGACAATGTGATCATGATTAATTGATAATTAGATAAGATAGTCTGTCCTATTGTTCTAATTTCTTCAAAGTGGCGCATTCGACGTACAAAATTAAGAATAAAACAATCCATCGCCCAGTCGCAAAATTACACAAGAGGATATAATATAAAAACAAAGGTTGAATGTGAAAGAGATAACAAAGACAAATCAGGCTTATAGGTTGTTGTTAGACTGACATAGGGTAATATAAATCTACCGTGAAAGTACCATACCATCCACTAATTAAAAGTTCCTTTCGAAAATTCACTCCACATTGGTTGGAACAAATGACCAGTGTGATGTAAAACGCCGATTAACAACGAATCGGGTGCGTACAAAATACTGGCTTGTAGTTGTCTTGAATCGAATTACATTGCATTTTTATGTTTCATAATATGACAATAATCACAAGAGAAAAGGAGAATAACTCGAATCTAACCAAGAGAGATTATGTATGAATAGTTAGCATAAGGGAGGTGGAGGCAGTGGCAACCATTCTCTTAGACGCAATTTTGAGAGAAAAAATTAGGCAACATCAAGTAAGAAAACAAACAGAGGCACGAACTTGACTAAACAGGGAAGCACAATGACTACGCCTGTGTGCACGATTCGGATCACGAAAACAATACTCATCGATCTGAACATGAGAAAAAAACGACTCAAATACAAATATTCATACATATATTACATAAATCAGCTTCTCTACACTAGTCAACTAATGAGAACAATATGCACGGTCATTCATGTGTGAACACAAAAATTAAAACAAGCGAAAAAATCACGGCTGAGATTCAAAACAAAAGAAAACAGAGTGAACAGTCGAAGTTATGAGAGATTATATTGTCTGTTTGTGTGTGTGTGTGTAATTGTGAGTAGTAAATATCAACCGGATAATTAGAAAAGATGGTTATGTCACCACAAACACGACGACCTACACACACACACACGCTTGCATAGGATCGTGTTGGTGATTGTGGTGACTAGTCAGTCGATCGATAACGAGTCAGTGTGAAAATAAATTAATTATACAGGATAATAAGCTCACACATACACACAGTCTCGCCCACTTGCACGTTTACTCTATGGAAGCATCCACAACAACAACTGGAGCAATATTAAATTAATTCACATGAACTATGTTTCTTTTTCTTTCCTTCAGGCATGAGTACTGCTCGAATAGCTTCGTCGAACACATCTTTTAATCCGAACTGAGTTAAAGCAGAGCATTCCAGATACTTCACAGCTTTAATTTCTCTTGCCATTCTGCAACCCTGAATAATAACAATAGTCAATAAAAATAATCAAATGACAATTTAAAGCCTAAAACAACATCATACTGTCACTACTCATGGTACAATTCGGTCAATTAGAAAACACATTTACTGAATATTGGGAATGTGTGCTGACAATCGCGTATTGCACTGAGTATATAATAAACAATAAAGTGCTTACAATTCTTACTGTTATCTTGTGAAAAAAGACTAACTGTTTTATACCCAGTCCACCCAACACCATAATCGCCATCCATATAAGATACTACGGATTGGATGTCGTGATGACTCAGTCGAGCTACATCACTTACAACACTGGTTCCTTTCGGTTTCTTTATGACAATCAGGTCACTATAGGAGTGTGACGGAGTAAGTTGTTTGTCTCAGAAAACGAGCATTCGGAGTGGTGCTCCAATCCCACAACAAAGAGAGGTCAGAAAAGATTGGCCCTAAAAGTAATACACCTTACGGATGATACATCACGGATTCCAATGGCAAACAGTAACACCCCAGAAGTAGGAGGATAACACTTCCAAAAATACTTGGAGAAACTGTGACCAGAATCACACAGATTGTCTACGTATGTTGTGGTCATGCTCTACCTGTTTCGGTCTGAGCACTCGGGCAGCATCACACTCCACACACAAATCAAGTGATTTGTGTGGCGCATATGTATTCGGTGCCCCGTTGTACCAATATTTATGTGTTCAAAAAAACAAATAAATAAAATAGTGGTCATGCTCCCACATTGTCAAGATCATTAGTCCAGTTTATTTTACAGGTCTCTCAGGAAGTATCGTTCGGCGATGTGGGCAACTGAGAAACAACAACTGTTCTCGTAAATCTAACACCACTTGAAGTCGACTTGTTTACAACAAAATTCCTTCATTTAGTTAGCCTATCGGATAGTTATCGGTTGTTTTGTACCACTCAAGACCAGACACTTCTGTCAATTCAGAAACTTTTCCTTCCAAGTAAAACAAACACAAATTTGAAATTTGTGCTTCCGATTTATTTCTAGTTCATGTACGCTTTCACCCAAACAAAAACAAACGTTGAAGGAAAACTATTTAAATGCAAACAAATAATGAAATAATCAACCCCAGAAGTCCATTAATAGACTTCATAATAACACAACAGAGCTACAAACGTTTCACAATACGATATACAGACAATCAATCTAATAACACCTGATAGACAAAAAATCACAACATTATGTAGTAAGTTACGCATTGCAGAGCATCTCGGTCAAACCGAAAGATAAGGTCTCCTCGAATTCACAATCTGACTGTATATGTTATGATTCTATATGCAAAGAGCAAACTACGAACGAATCAACATCAGAAAAAGCCACCACTGCGAAAGGTTACTTAGGCCACCAAAGAACTTTATATAACTCAAGAAATGTTTAGTCACATTGTAATCCCAGGACGCTGAGTCAATATCCAATGGTTATCAACTTATTCACGAATACTTCAAAAAGTATAAAGAATAGCTTTCGGTGGAACCATTTTACAAAAATTAATAAAAGTTGAGCGAGGAAGTAAATCGGTTAAAAATAGATCCGACTTGACAAGTTTTCACTACCTAATACGGTATACACACGTGTAACAAGGATTGCACAGCTATACATAGTGACAATTGAAGGAACTTGAAATTTAATTAAAACAACGTAATTTACATATCACTGATACCAGTTTTGTACCACGTAACAAATGAAGGTCTATCTCCGTGAATAACTGATTAGGTTATCTGTAAGCCCCGATATTGGTAATCCAAATATTCTACTATTTTCATTCAACTATTTCTCAGAGGAAAACACATTAAACGACCATGAGTGAAACGCGTATATGCCTTACTTTGCATTCCAGCAGTCGTCTCAAACTTTTTAGCATTAAATAAATAAACTCACTATGTGAAGACTAATAACGCTGCCCGGTCTTCTAAACCGAAAAAGGCGGAGCGGGATTCGAAACAAGTACGGTTGGGTAGATTAACCTCTAGTCACAGCTTCAGCAGCAAAATTGATATAGCTATTCTATGGTAGTCATCAATCTTACAATGGATGTGACCGACTTGATACTACAAGGTGGCGATATAAACCAGTTACCACAATGTTTCTTAGTTGACCACTTATTTACACGGTTGCATTGAAGTCCAGCTTATTATACATTTTTTATTTAACGTCAGGCACAAAACAGTACAACCTGTCGACATAACAGAACAGATGTACTGAAAATAAAGTGAATTTAATGAAATACACCCAAAAGTTTACAAGATAAACAAATAAAGAAGTATTTCCATTTCATTTTTGTAAAGCTGCAAACTTCACATTTAAAATAGATAGTATATACGCAAATAAATGAATCTTGATTATATTGTTTTGCTTGGTCAAAAGTCATTGTGGTGCTATATAAAGTTGACGTTCACAAGCGTTTTAGGAACACACGATGAAGCAACATGCGCAAAATACTAAACTTTCGCAAATAATAGACAAATTATTTACAGACTATTGACAAGAAAAAGCGATAGCTGTGATTAAGACACTCAACTTTCAACTACTAACATGCAAGTTCAAACCTAGTAAATTCGAATCAGGGTTTTGCAACTCCCTTTGATAAGTTTTATCAACAACCGGTTTTAAACACTGGACATCCACTTTTTGCTCTCCCGATTTTTTAAACACTCGTACCGCGAGAAAGCAGAGTAGCGGTTTTCTGACAGTGGTTATTCACGCGTGACCACGTGGAAGCATTTTGTGGAGAACGAACTATTTACCCTGGCTTTAAACTACAATTTCAATACATGTGTAAGCGATCACGAAAGTTAACCTTATTTCAGGTGTCTAACAACAAAATAATAGGCATGATACTCTAATTCTGTCCAAATGTACTCTTACATTCTTGCATCAAAATCATAACTACAACCAATTATTTCAACATAGTGAACTATTCGTAAAGTAGCAACTAACCTCTGCATACGTTACTGGAAACGTTGTGGATTTTAGCCCGTTAGGACTATCACGAAGATCCCGTTTTGTTCCGACAAGAATAATGGGAGCTCTTGGGACATACGCAGATATTTCTGGATGCCATTTGCTGCGAACGTTCTCAAATGATGTGCGACTGACCAAGGAAAAGCAGACCAAGAATACATCAGTTTGCGGATATGAGAGTGGTCTTAGTCGGTCATAATCCTCCTGACCTAAAGATAATATACGTGTTAATACAACCACGAACTTGGAAGCATTTAAATATATTTGCACTTACCGGCTGTATCCCACAAACCAAGGTTCACGGGTTTCCGGTCAACCATTACGTTAGCAGAGTAGTTATCGAAAACGGTTGGAACGTACTCACCAGGAAAGGCATTTGTCGTGTAGCTGATAAGTAAACAGGTTTTTCCGACAGCACCATCACCGACAACTACACACTTAATGGCTTGCATGAGTAGCAAGAAGTAAAAATGTAACGGTTCGCGTTTAGCCAAGAGGTACTTTGTGTATTAAGGGAACATACAGCGTAGTGTGGGTGAGGAGGGCTGGAGGGGAGGAAAAAGATGAAAGGTAAGTATATGATCCAGAAATTGAGGACAACATACTTACATCTAATAGAGAAAGGTATCGAAAAAAACAGAAATAACACGGGATTGAAATCAATACAATTCGATAACCGAGATTAGAACCAGACAGTCCAAACAACTACGCACAAACTCAAACCGAAAATCGCTTAACATCCGCGGCCACTGCAATAGTGTCCGTTAAAACAAAATATGCTACTTTGTCTGGACTGAGACTTAAAACCGTCCGCAAATAGCTATTGTCATTTTCGTTTTTTTCAGTCTTTAATAATGCTTCTAAACGTAAGTTCGTGACTGTACTTATGCTTCACGTCGAGATTGGTATACTTTGATAAAAATTACCGAACGAAGAGAATTCGATCAATCAGTGATGATTTTATACTTCGACTTTAGCAAGGCTTTTAGTATTGCACCATCCTATGAATATAACCAGCGGCGTTACACAACGAAGTCCAATTAGCCAATTAACCTTCTCCCCTTTATCAATGATATTTTCCCACTATTTCAATTCGGTAAACTTTTCCTTTTTGCTACTGACCAACAGTGGTTTATTCATTTTCGTCTTCCACCAACGAAAGTCATATTTAACGGTAATTGATGGGGACATGAGCAAGTGATTTGATGGATCGCGTCATAGAACCTATCACTGAATTTTTATAGAAGCAAATTCGTTTACTTTGGACTCAGTTCTAACATAGATCTTTTTCTACACTGATGTGTTGGCAAGGAATACAAGGAATGGTTGTTTTATTTGGTCAGACTAGCAGATAGTCTGACAAGTATTAGATGTGCCTTATGTCTCCCTACCCTTATTATTACAGTGATTGTTATCTGATTTCGGTGTCAAAATTTACTTACTTTCTAGTCGGGCCAGTCGTGTTTTGCTGATCTGAAATACTGTGGAATTATGGTCTGCTTAGTTATCATTGCTATTATAATAATAGCCCTAATCCTAAAACTTTAGATATGTCATGATGTGACTGCCTAAACTATAAGATCTTACGTGGGAGTCACATTATTTTCTATACTGACTCATCGTAACAATTAACAATATAATACCCAGTACTTCTGAAAAACACGTTTAGGTTGAAGATAGGATAATACATTTAATGTGAATAAAGAGGAGTCATACATTCTGACCACGTCTACAAGGCTGAGCCAAGCCATCCGACTTAATCAATTAATTCTTCCTGCCTTCTTCATTGTTAGCCTTCTCTTCGTATAAAATGTTGAATATCTATTTTTCCATTTATTTCATGATCAACTTAGAGGATTGTGTGGTTAAGACCAATATCAATGCAGGGCTTCTTCCCCTTACGTTAGATTTACTCTTTGTTGTCTTAAGATAAAGAACAAATTCGCACACATAATAATACTCATAATGATTTTCAATACTGGTATATAACAATTAGCTGAACTTA